GTGTTACGGCTAACTGTTTTTTTTTTTTATAACTGTGATCTTATATATAATTGTAATATATATTTTAAATTATCTAGCATATATATTATGTGATTGTAGGGCACGTTGTCAGAGTCCTTCATATTTAGGGTTGCCATATCTCCGGATTTGCCCGGAGATCTCCGTATTTTAAGCCAAAAAATAAGGCTCCGGGGGATTTCAAAAAAAAAAAAATGAAATCTCTTCTTTTTAGAGGATTTTATTTGACTTTTATAAAAGTTCGATATATAATACTTAAATTTTAATACTTAAATGTATAGAACTGAAAATGTAAAAACTATTAAATGTAAAATGTATTTAGTCAATGAAAATGCTCATACAGCACGTGTTCTCTTCTCTTAATTACACAATATTAAAAAATGTGCGCGCATCTAAACTTGCGAAAACGAAAGTCGTGACGGATAAATTACGTTAAGGTAATAAAGTATTTTGGTTGCTTCTACACAAGAGATAGTTCCTTTAATTTAAAGTTTTAAAGTAAAAGAATCGCTGCACTCTCAATAATTTTGTCTAAAAAATGTTTTCTAGTTTAAAAAAGAGAGGAATGATTGTGTAGCCATATTCAAAATTTGCCCAGCAGGATAATTTATTTATGTTTCTCCCAAAGATAAACAAATTACCTTATGTTAACTTTATTTATCTTATTCATCTTAAAATCATAATTAAGTCAAAATTATGTAAATTATGTAACCTTTGACCTGTTATTAGTCTCAATAATAAGAGTTAAAAGCTTTAAGTTGGATGAAACTTGACAGTATCCCTATTTGGGATCAAGTTGAAGACTTAATTGTAGACAAAAAAGCCCCTTTTTAATGCTAATAAATTATTGAGCCATGACCAATTTTCAAACTTATAAGTTCAATAAATTTTTACTATCAAACAAAGACTTATTGAAAAAGATAAGTTCAACAAAAAAGTATAGTTGGTATGATTCATCTTCCCCCGTTCATAGTTCTTGCTCTGTTCCAACAAATGATTGGAACGATAACTGTAAAATTGGTAACTGATTCAAGTGATTAGTTAGATACAAGTGAACAATGGTTACAAGATGACAATAGAGACAAGTTAAATAATGGAGGAATAATTATTGGCTTGGATTTATATAGTATAGTACATTTTAATACAGAATAACTAATAAGACTTAATTCACCAAGAATCAATAATTGTAAGACAGCAATAAAATTGAATGTGAACATTTTGCAATTAAAATTAGATTAATTTTAATTGCAAAACCAGCAATTTGTGTAAAAAAAACAAATCACATTTAAAAGAAGGGGTTATTATTTATTTAATTCTCATAAAAGGGGTCCACTCTGGTAATGCCTCGTTAAATAATAAGAATTCTCATTCATTTGACACGTATTGTAAAATCAGGGGTGGGTTATGTCACTTGCCAAGAAGGGGGCTAAAAAGGTCAACAAAGAAAAAAAATCTCCGTATTTTCATTTTTAATATTTTGTACTTTAGTATAATAATCAAGTTCATAGATATATACTATTTTTTTTTTTTTTTTTTTTAAGTTGATTAAGGTGCCTCAAGAAGTCCTTACGGTATTATCACAGAGCACCGCGGAAGAGCATTTAATAGGAAGAGCATTTAATAGGAAGTTCACGCCTCCTTCCCAACCAATATCGCAAAACTTGCCCAGAGGTGGGGTTTGAACTACGGATCTTACGTTTCTGAAGCAAGTGCGTTACCACTGCGCCACGGCTACTCTAATTACGTATAATAATCAATTTCATTTGTCAGTATAATAGTCCAATTCTGTATAATAGTCAATTTACAATAGAATATTTTGAAAAAAAGTCCTAAAGGGGAAGGGGGTATTGTGGGGGTGGGGGAGGAGGCTACTACCCCATGCCCCCCCCTCCTCTAAAACCCGCCACTGTGTAAAATCTCCTCTTTTTTAGTGATTACCATATGGCAACCCTGTTCATATTTTATGGACCTTCGTGTCCTTCAGAACATTAATCACTGTTCTAATAAAGTTTAATCTAATCTAATCTAATCTAAGAAAACGCTCAATACACGAAGACTTCGAGGGATAGTAAAGTAAGCATTACTTTGTGACGAAGTAATGCTTAATTTAGTACCCCTCGAATTAAATTGGAATTGAACGGAAAATATTCACTTCGCTATCTATGATCATCAAATTTGAGCTTGATCCCAAGAGACATTTCTTCCTCAACCAACATAAGTTTTAAGAAAAAAATTACGATGTGCAAAGCGATAAAATGCCCATGCAAAATATGACATGAATAAAATTAAAATGGCTATTATAATTAGAACAAATTTACATGTGGTACAGGTTCACCATCATCGGTTTATTTAGTTCAGTATTTTACTGTGACAGTTTATACAATATATTTGTAAAATCTACCGATGTTAATTAAGTTAAAAAAAATAACCGCTAAAAAAAAGTTGTTTTTGCGCTCTCGTTCGTAGAGTCTTTTAGAATAAAAATATAATTATTATTGATAATATTTTTGTTACTAATAATAATAGAATAAAATTATAATTATTATTGATAATTTAGAATAAAATTATAAATTTTTGAAAATTATTGAAAATTTAGAATAAAATTATAATTATTATTGATAATATTTTTGTTACTAATAACAATAGTTATTATTATTATAAGTAAATAAATTATGTAAACAATTTTTATAATCGTTTATTATTATTTTATTAACATGCGTTTTTTATTTTGAATTTGAATTTTAGGGCGCTTAACCCGCTATACATTTTTATACACGTTTTTAATTTATTGTTTTTACAATTAATAATGAAAATTTAGCACACAATTCAAAAAAATAAAAATTAATACATTCTTTTGAATATTTTAATTCAGCATTTTTGTGTAAATTAGACTATATTTACGAAGTTTATTTGAAAAGTGATATTTTCAAAATTTCAAAACTTATAAAAATTAAACTTTGAAAAAATGTTCTTCTCACAATAACCTGATAAAATAAAATGATGCGATCACTAACCTATGATACTATCACAATAATTTATGTTACTATTACCTATCACTATCATTGATAGGGACTATAATGAAAATCTAATAGCTATAAAAAAAAAAAACTAAACATATTTTATGGTAGCAAACGTTCTACAAAAGATTGCCTTTTAAAATTAAAAAAACAAAAACAAGATTTGAATTGTTTTAAAAATTTATTGAAATTTTTTGTTAAGTATACAAAAAATTAAAAACAAAGATTAAAATGTCATGAATTTCAAAATTTGCAGCTTTTATTTTAGTGTCTCTTTATTGTGTTGATAATTTAGACTGTGTTCATAATGCATATTGTATTGATAATGCAGAGTTTCAATTTTATTAGACATATTATTTAACACTTTGTAGGTTTCTGAAGCAGCAACATTTACTTGCTGTTTCCATTTTATATCATGAGATATTATGACACCAAGATTTTTTTATTCTTCACATGTTGATAAAAAGATTAGGGTATTAACCGCCATACCCATTGTATATTTCTTCTTTTTTTTTTACCACAATGCATCACCTTATATATTTTATAGCCACCTTATATATTTTATAGCCAATGATTTACCCAGTGAATCAACCACTCATCATGTCATTAAGTGTATTTTGCTCTCTATAACAGTCTTTGAATGGTTTTATTGATTGTATCAGTTTTATGTTATTGGTATAAATTTTTAAATGTATATATGATTTGGTACGTTATTAATAATTATAATAAATAAGAGGTCCCAGTACACTACCAAGAAGTATTTCATTCAAAAGGGAATCTAATTTACAATTAGAAATAATAACTTGTTGAGTTCTTTTTGAAAGAAGTTTTTATTTGGAAACAAAATTTTTCTATATGATTCAAGTTTCTGTTGCTATCTCATGTTGTGCTTTATTAAATACCTTAATTATACCTAGAAATACAATATCTACAGCTCTGTATTTACCAACTCCATTTGTTTTATGATCTTTTAAAGTTTTTAAGGAACTAAAACATTAGATTAAGCGCAAATGGCTTTAAATGCATTATTATTTTCTTGTGATCTTTTCAAAAACTCTATTACAATGTAATGTCATTTCATTCAGTATTTAAATTTATTACAAATATTAAATGCAATGACAATTTCATGATTTATGATAAGGCATTGTTTAATTTGACAATTAGCAATATTCCATAGACATTACCTTCATTAATTATTTTAGTTCTGTAAACATTCAAGATATTTTTTTAAATCTATTGTGCTTTAAAATAGTTTATTTGTGTGCAATTTGTTACAAAAATGTATTTAAAAAGTTATGACATTGTGATAAGATAAATTTTTTAAAATTATATTCTAGCCAACAACAAAATTATAAAAAAAAACTATTTCTCTATATTTTCTATTGTTATGAACATAATATAATTTTATTTTCATTATTATTAAATTGATTTCTTGTACCTGAGTACCAAGTTTTGGAAAGTTGTTCCTTAGACCAATTCATATGGATATTAAGTTAAGACATAATAACCACTTTTATTAGTTTCAAATTTAGGTTAGTTTTATGTACTAAAGATTAAGGTTTAACTTAAATTGGTAACTTTTGATCATTAAAACAAATAAAATAAGTAAGAATATTTTATATTTTAATAAAATTTCTTATCAACTTGAATCATTCTGGTAAATTAGATTGCATTTTATTATAGAATAATCGGTTAGCTTACAATTTACAAGCAGCTACTAAATAGGTTAAAAGTTTTGTTTACAAAAAGGGTGGTGTTATTAGCTGTACAAAAGCAGTAACTGAGATTTGTAGGAAAAAAAGATAAATGTGCTTACACATACCTAAATGTGCTTACTATAGATAAAAAAATTAATAATATTTAATAATAATAATGAGTATGCTAATAATTTTTTGAAAATAATTGGAATTTTTTGTGTTAAATTTTGTATATTGCATTCAAGATAATTTTTTTTATGTTGCACAGCTGAAAATACAACAAACACAATAAATAAAGCTGCAACAACTACAAATTTCACAACCGAAGGTATTTTGTTAATTTTAAAATTTAAGGTTTCAACATTTTTTATTTTTAAAGTTAATGGGTTTAACACACTCTTCTGTGTTACGGAAAGAATGCCTTTCATGGTTTTACTTTTCTTTTGTTAAATATGTTTTTAAATTATTAAATCAAAGGTTGTTATTAAATCACTTCCACATTATTGTGGTTTGGAAAAGTTTCAAAATAACATTAGTGTTGTTTGGAAAGGTTTCTATACAGCCAATAGTTTGGTTTGGAAAGGTTTTTATAATGACATAAGTCTGGTTTGGAAAGGTTTTTATAGTGACATTTTCTTATTTGAATATATAATTATGGAAGAGTTGCAGCTTTAATAACCAAATGCTCTTCATACTGCTATTTTATTTGATTTAATACAATTTTTTTATTGAGAAAAGTTCTATCTTGATCCTGATAATCTTAAAAGTTTGTTGATGACACAACTATAATTGCAGATAATGCAACTATATTTGCTGATGACACAACTATATTTACTGATGACACACTATATTGCTGATAACTATAAATAGTGAAACTATGTTTTAGCTTTGACAATAAGTCATCACTTTATAATTGCTTAAAATAAGTTGTTTTTTTAAAAAAAAAAAAAAAAAAAAGGGGGGCATTATAGTCTCTTCTGGTAGTAGCCTCCACGACTTGATCTTTAGACATCTTTAAGATATTCACTCAACAAGTGAATTTCTTAAAGATAATCTCTTTTGTGACAGCTTGGGGCTTGCTGTGGTTGGCGAGTTTTAACCCAAATAAATATTATTTAAGTTTTTATTTACTGCAAATCATGCGATTTGGTTGAGGATCCTATAGTGATGAACATAGTCCTCTACTTTACATTTTCTCGGAATATAATTTGCTTCTAACCTTTCTTATGGAAACCATATATGCAAACTATATAAACTATAGCAAATTTAGTTTCTTTAATTATCATGCTCATCTTATATTTATTCCTAGTTCAATTTTTGATTCAATCCTTCAGTTGTGAAGTCAGAATAAGCACATTTGCATCTGTAAGTTGCATCAAAAAGTACGTTTCTTATTCATCTTTTTTTTTCATTCACAAACATCAAAGAAATTCTCTCTCATCTTCATGTTTTCCTGACTTCAAAGAATCACTTGTCAACCAATCACTTGGTCTTAAACTCTATTTTTTACTTTCTAGTAGCTCTTAAAAAGTTTCTGCTTGCAGTCTTGTTGGAAGTGAGGGTTGAAGCAAGTTTTAATTAAAAAACAAAATAATATAAAATATAATATATTTTCAAGTTATACTACAATTTTTTTTTCTTTTTATAAAATAATTGGCTATTTATTTTATTGAAATGTTTATAGGGTGTAACACCCTATAATCTAAAAAGTAAAAAATAATCTGCAATAAAAAATGAATTTTTTCTGAAAACAACATTTTTCAAGCGAAATAAAAAGTAGAAAATAATTTTCCTTTGAGCTTGTCAGAATGTCTGATTATATTCCTCTAATGATGATGACAGATTTTTTAACAAATTTGATACACGTATAACAAAAAACATTAGGCGCAAGTGGTGATTTGATAATATTATGACATTATGCAGTATAACATTTGATTTAATGCTTTGTTTATGTTGATGTATTTAAGTGCATCTATTAAAATTTAAATATAGTTGGCTATATTAATGATCAGTGTAGATATATTGCACTGATATATGATTTACGAAACCATTAAGTGTTGGTTGATCACCATTCTTATAATATACACCCAACGTTTTTCGTTTTACGTGTATCAAATTTTTTATAAAATCTGTCATCATTATAAAAGGAATATTATCAGGCATTCTGCTCAAAGAAAAATTATTTTCTACTTTTTAGTTCGCTTGAAAAACATTGTTTTTAGAAAAAATTCATTTTTTATTGCAGATTATTTGTTTTTTGTTTTTGCCTAATTTCTTAATTTTAATTATTTGCATGATTATATATGTCACATTTGTTATATATGTGATTATTTGATTAAATAATATGATTATATATGTGATTATTTGATTAAATAATTTTTAAATAATTCTTTAAAATTAGAAAAATCAGGAGCGCTCATGACCCTTGTTTTTAACAACCATTTACATTTATAAATTTTATTTTATTGCTATAAAAACAGCGTTAAAAATAATTTATTTAATATTAAGATTAGCCATATTCATTCGAAATTAATATATTAAATATTTGTAATTAAATAATTATTTTCTTAGTAAAGTGAAGTTTTTGATTTTTTTTTTTTAATTATTATTTTAAAACTGATAGTAAAATGTTTCACCAAATGATGATTTATATTTACTTGATTACTAAAAGTGCTTGCAAATAGTTAATATTTTTAAACCATTAATAATATATTATTAATGATTTAAAAATAAAAGTTTTTAATTTTTTTAATTTTTAATTTTAGTATTTTAACTTTCTATTTTACTTTTAAAAAAAAGGAGTGCTGTGACTATTTGTTAAACTTGTGTTATTATCACATGTCCTTAAACTTTTGTTTAAGTGTGTTTAAATCATGTTCCACTATGTCACAAATATCTTCAACAACAACATTACCTCTATCAACAACTCCATTTGTTACATCAACAAGTTTATTAATTACAATGTCTTCAACATCATTAGATTTTAGATGATATAAAAAATGGTTTTATATTTTTAAATTAAGAAGTGATAAGTTTTATATAGATATATATATTCTAGTAATTGATCTGGCTTACAAAGCAGGTGCTCCATAGTTACAAAGCAGGGGCTCCATAGTTACACTACTACCACTTTACAAATTTATGAGGAAAGCTTTTTTTTTTTTTTTTTAACTCTACCTATTGCGCCACGGCTGCACGACTTGATAGTGTATGTTGTTCAAGTGAACTATAGGAAAGGTCATAAACAATATAGATTTTCCATTCATTTTATAAATTTCATAAATAACGATAAGCATGAATAATATGACTTCTTAATTCATAAAATCTTTTTGAATTATAAGTTTCATTATTCTTATTTTTAATATGGCACTATTTAGTTTGACATCAAAAGTTTAATCTAATCCCTAAGCTTTTTTTTTTTTTACTCTTAAAAGGAAATAGCAAATTTAAATTTGGTTACAGTTGTAACAGGTGGGTCGAGTGGTCTGAATAATGTTATTTAAAAAGCATTACCAAGTGTTTAACAATTTTATGTTAGCATTACATTTACTGTTACATATATTACTACAGGACCTGTATAATTTGTCATGGGAGGTAGATATGTTAAATATGATCTCTATCTTTTAGACTTTTCTTATTACTTTTCTTGTTTCTGTACAGCAAAGAAAATGAGCAACATATTTATAGAATAAATAATTTGAATCTACAATGACTTCTTTGGAAAAAAAGTTTCTAAATGTTAAGTTCTATTTTTAAATGTTAAGTTGATGACTGATAATGAGTGGTATTCTTCTTTAAGATTTTTAAATAGTTCAATGTAGACTTATAATTATATGAATTATAACGACATTTAAGTTAAAACTTTTTAAAAATATTTTCATAGCTTTTTATTAATGGTATGCAAGTTAATGACATTTGGTTTCAGAAAATGATTAATATTAAAGATTTCTTTAATTGGTCATAACAGCAGGAATTTTATCTAAAAATGGATTCTAGCATAATGTAACACAAAAATGTGTTAATACTTATGGTATTTATTTTTAGTGATAAATAATAATTTATATATATGTATATATATATATATATATATATATATATATATATATATATATATATATATATATATATATATATATGTATATATATATATATATATATATATATATATATATATATATATATATATATATATATATATATATATATATATTTACACATAATTTTATGCTAAAATCAACTTCAACACAAGGTGAGTTGGGTAATAGTATTTTTTGCATGGACTGCTGTTATTTGAGTAGTAGTACTTGTTCTTAGTTTTAAATTTTTTTATAAATGATCTATGTTGTAGTGGTGTAGTGGTAAAGCAATTGCCTTTTAATTGAGAAGTTTAGAGGTTGAACCCTATCACATTCCTGATAGTACCACTATCAACATTTTGCTTCCTCCCAGCAAGCCTTGTTTGTGAAGGTTTGTATTTTGGGAATTATAGAGTTGAAAGAAGTTTGTAACCATAAATATAGCAATCTTTTTGACTTTAGTGGCCTTCATTGTCTTGGGAAGGTGAATGAACATAAAAAAAAATCTGCTCCGTAAATCTGCTTTGCTCTGCCAATTGTATCTACCATACAAATTAGCTGTTGCTGTTTAATATAAAATTTTTTGATCACAAATTTTTTTATTTTATTTAACTTCTATACTGCAGGAACTTAATCGAAAACAATAATTTTTACAAAGTCTTTAGTCTCACTGACTAAATATAGAATCCATCATAATTCTATTATAAATTGCTTTTAAATTTAAATTACATTTAAAATTTTACAAAAAACATTCAAAAGCTTTTTTTCATAACTTTTTTCCCACATTTTTTTTGTTTAAGTTTCAGTTGTTTTTTTTATTATTTTTTAATGTCATTTTTATTCATTTCTGTTTTAATTTTTTATTTATGTAAAATTAAGAATACTTTTGTTACATTTTTAAACATTTTATAGAAAAATTTTACTGCGATTGTTTATTGAGCTTTTGTAAATATCATTCTG